AAGAGAGGGTTTCCTGCCTTTACCTGCCGCCTGCGTGTGTGCGCTCTGCCTTTCACGGCCACCGAGAGAATACTGGAGAGCCAGAGCGAGAGAGAGGGAGAGGAAAACAGGAGGGGGGGGGGGGGGGGGGGGGGGGTGGTGAGATGTGTGACAGAGGGGGGAGGGGAGATGACTCAGAGGGAGATGGAGAGAGGAAGAGGAGGAGAAGAGGAGGGTTAATTAAAAAGGAGGAGATGGACGGAGGGTGGGATGAAGGGATAAGGATGGGGTGCAGAGGTAAAAATAGACAGAGGGGAGGACGGGTTCTCTCCCTCTGTGTCTCCCTGTCTTTCTCTGGTGCTGCAGTGGGGTTCAGTCGATGTATATACAGTTACATAATCCATCCTACTCCAACACACTCAGACATGATGATGTCTAGGTGTGTGTGTGTGTGTGTGTGTGTGTGTGTGTGATCTGAAAACAAAGCAGCAGCAGAAACCTCTTTGAAAGCAGTAAAGGTGCCAAATGATCGATTTATTTTGATTTTGGCAGGCTGCTCTGTTGGTCCAGTGATGTCCAGTCATGCTCAGCGTGACCTTTACACAAGGCACCTGGCTGTTCCAGGTGAGCTACTGACAACCTCAAAGACCAAAATTAGCATGACTGTCAACGTACAATCTTCATAAAGGATAAACTCCGACTGTACGTTCAGACCGAAAAGAGGCGAAAACGTCAAAAGTGACCGGAAGTCATTGATTTTCTGTGAGTCGGCATCTTTTGGCGGCGAACAGTGGCGCAGCAGCCAGCCCAGGCAACCTTCTGGAATGTATAAGTATAAGTGTATAAGTCCTTCGCTCTGAAGAACACTAGAGCACACAATCGTGTAAACTTTAGTTCCCATCAAACATTTGTTCCCAAGCACAACGGAGGAGATTCTATAACTGTGGCAGCGGGTCTCCCCATCCTTTACGTCCTGTCCTGTCCCTGTTTGCTTACAGGGACAAATTCAACAAAACAATGCGTGGACAAAGGTGTCTGACATTGTAGGTGGTGAAGTGTAGTCTATAATATATTTAGTAAGAACAGGAGACAATCGCATGCTAACTAGCGTCATAGCATGCAAAACAGTTTCCCGAACGTCTTATACGTCAGAGCCCACACAAACTTCAACAGCGTCCTTGAACATGCGTTTGGTGTGAACGTGCGTGAACAGGAAATCTTCACTGTGAACTATCGCTTTTCCACAATGCACACAGAAAACGGCCGTGGCAACGTCGTCGATGGTACGTCAGACGTATTCAAAGCTTTCTGTTATTGCTGTGATAAATCCAAAACTCGCTGCCGATCTTACGTCCTGATACTGATTTCTGAGGGCATCCACAGCCAAGGCTTTCCAAGGTCGTGCAAGGTAGCCAGAATGTGCACGTGAAAGCGTCGTTTGAAGCAAGTGTATCATTGACCCGGCTTACAGAGGAAGCAACACACACAGAGACTGTCGACACCATCTGTCATTTCAGCAAGTGCCTAAAAGTGACAAAAAAGGCACACAGCATGTTTTTGCTCGAAGTCGTAGGAGTGATGACTCTCGTTTGTTGGGACCAAAAGGAAACATCCAAAATGTTGAACTTTTACACAGGAGACCGTTTGTTTCCTGTTTCCTTCTGACAGTCACCGTTGGTCTCTTGTAGCTCCATCACACCATGGTCGATCTCCAACTTTAAGTGTTTATTGCCGTAACCACGACAACAACCGTCCCCTAACCTTAACAAAGTAGCTATTTTGACCCTAAGCAGTTGTGTTTTGACTTGAGCCTAAACAAACCTTAATGGTGGCGTGGTCACGTCGCCTTCACAGCCTACGACAGTGGCCTTCGTTGACCGGGTCCTCCGAAAGATACGTCCCCTGAATTGGGACACAGCTAGTGAATGCAGAAAAAAAGTATTGTTGCTATGGTAACCTGCATTTGCTGACTTACTATTTTGGTTGAGCTGTTAACCAGAACTACATTTAAGAGTGCCCTCTTAAACCATCTAATTGGAAATCTATATGTCTCATTGCTTTGCTGTTTTTACATAGGCCTACTAATGTAATAGATACTAGTTTCTTATATTCATTATAACTTACATAACTCACAACAGAGCTATAATGATGTATTGATGTTTGTGTGCTCTTTGAACACAGCACACAAACTGTAGCCCTCAACACCTATCAGCTGTAATAAAACTGTCTTCAGTGTGTCTGAAGATTCCTGCACATTTATCCTGTTTGTTAGTGTAAACCAGTAACAGCCAATGAGCTCTGTGGAGCTGTGACCTCCTTTGTTTTACTTCCTCTGTGTAGCGCAGAGTCGCGTAGTGCTCTGTCCTTGCTGCTCTAAAAACAGACTGGTGAAGTTGTTAATGCCGACTGGAGGGTGACACTGATACACACTGACAGGGCAACAGGGTGAAGCTAGTGTGTGTTTAGCGTGTGTGTGTGTGTGTGTGTGTGTGTGTGTGTCTACATGTCTTTGTGTGGGTTAAAATGTCTTTGCATTAGTGAGTATTATCTTGGCGAAGCAGTCTCTGCATTTTTATATTTTTATGCATGCACATGTGTTTGTGTGTACCTGGATTGTGTGCACAAGGCAAGTGCGGAAGTCTACTTGTGTGCATGTTTCTGGGTGTGCATGCATGTGTGTATGCCTGTGTGTGTGTGTGTGTGTGTGTGTGTGTGTGTGTGTGTGTGTGTGTGTGTGAGTGTGTGTGTTTATGTCTGTTTGTGTGTGAGATAATCTATAATTAAATTCCTGAGTTTAATGGGATTATCTTTGGGAGACAAGCAGCACAACGTCCTTGACATCCATCCCCCTGGTTAGCCACGGGTGAGCGACTGATAGAGACACACACATACAGAGAGAGAGAGAGAGAAGGGGGAGAGAGAGAGAGACGAGGAGGTAGCAACAAAGAGAAGAGCGGTGAGGAGACCAAAGTGCAACGAAATGCTTGTGAAGTGGGAGAAAGAGAGAAGCCATCCGGAGGGAAAGGGTAATGGAGAAGTGCTTTGCATTGTAATTATCTCATTTTCTGCTGCGTTACCACTGAAGGTCGACTGGCCTTTCCCTCAGCAAGATCCCCCCTCCACCTACAGCACATCCCTGCTGCCCAGGCCGGCCAAAACAAAAGAACATAATACAGAGGGTCTTTCTTATGTTCTCTCTGCTTTTCATATTGTTCCACTGATTCCCAGTTGATGAACATGCTATCACTGCTCATCCTAAACACTCACTTCCTTTTTTAGTTTAACCAAAATAAACCACCTGACAATCTCTTTTATTTTCTACTTTTATTTCCTACAATATTCAACAAAAAATATGTCCTGAATATGAAGTTATTTTTATCATTTTGTAGTCATTCAAGGGAAAACTCGAGGATAGAATCACAGTTATATGTAGTTTATGCATACAGTACACACACATATGATGTGAACTGTTTATCCACAGTTGAACAATAATCTATGAAGATGCCTGAAGCTGATATCAAATGAATGCCCTGTATCTCAGGTTGTCAAAACTGCATGTCGGTACTGTAAACAATGCAGTGCGTTAACCCTGAAAATACCAATAGTGCGCTTCATCTCCCTCTGGTGGTCATTCAGAGACAAGCCTGTCTTTCAGTCTGTAGCGGTACTCAATAGACACTGCATCAGAATGACTGTGGAAATACTGTAAATATCCATTTTTGTTATGTTTACTGTTATGAGTGGATAATTGTTATAATACATAATCAAATCAAAGGCGAATTATTTATGTCAAGCAGCTGAGCAATAACCAGAGCATTTAATCAAAAATATTTGGTTTAAAAACTGAAGTGAACCAACGTAAATGTTAAATAGATCCACAGATGTTGCTGACCAGACCAGCCCTGATGCTGCCTTCAGGGACTGTTCTACCACACCAAATTGGGACAACTATTTAGGTTCAAAGACTTTTTATTATTCCACCATTTTTTTGATTCATATTTCCTTCTACATGCTTCAACACAGAAACTCCATTCAAACCTGATAGTTTTGTTCATCTTAATTGGGACATTATCATCACAGTTTAGCTTCAGCTTGAGCAGTGGTAACAATTCTTTCTAGCTCTTTATGGAGCTGGTTTGTGTACAGGGGCATTTTTGGCATGTAGAAAGAGAGAAAGAGCAAAACACAGACTGCTGCCACAAGGTTATAAACATGTCTAACAGATCATGTTGTGGCCACATAGAGGTTTATTCTCAGTCTTTGGAATTTAAATGGGGGTGGACAAAATGTTAAAGACACCTCTCAGGATAATCTAAAACAATTCAACAGCACCACAAACTACAGCTGCCAATTAGTTTTCTGAAATAGTTTCAACAAAAAATGAAAATTTGGCCATAATTGTTATTGTTATTGTTATTGTAATATTGTATCTGGCCATATATTGTAAGTGCATCTACACAATTAAATGGTTCCTTGCTCTATAATGTAGTTGTAGGCAGACATGACATTCTCCTATGAAGATATATTTTGTACTCTTACAAGTGTGTTTTACTAGGCCTATATTGTAATTCATATCAGTCTATAAACCACCCTCCACTCTGTTCCCACAGGATTTTAGTTGTTGATAAATAGATTAATAAACAATTAAATCTGTTTACAACTACATAGTATGTTATAAAACATTGATTGATTATATACTGCTTTAAAATTCTTTATAGGGGACTTAAAGTACAGGGATACCAAGCAAATTGAACAGTTATGTAAACAAAAATAAGACAAAAAAAATCAGGGGGTTTAAAGCCTTTTTAAAGTCATAAGTTTTAATGATATAAAAGTAAAGGTTAAATTCTTTTTTTGAATTTACAAGGTGAAATTATTTGTCTTTTTGTGAAAATAACGTGAACCAGACACCACGTGTTGAAAATACCAAGTCATTACTTTTATTAGCAACAATAAAACCAGAGGAACTCGAACATACCACAAGTAACATTTCCGACTTCCGCACTGGGGGAAGTGGGAGTTTACAGGAAGCACCTGAACGTCGCACCACATTACCAGCACTCCGGCGGCTGAGAACAGAGAAGGTAGGAACTGTCACAGTTTTTAACTGTGATTTACCGACGTTAAATACTGAAATATCACCGCTGAAATACTGTGATTCTTCAGAGTGACTCTTGTCATTGTAAAATCTGTGACTGTTAGCCCGCCGACGGCTAACTCTGCTAACCGGCAGCTGTCAAAACAAACCATTTCCTTTAGCTAACTTTCCGCTAGCTTGGCTGTTAAATCTCTGCTGAAATTTACCGGTCTGTTTTCACTGGTTAACCACAGCAACAGCAAGGCTAATTGTCTCTTAGGCAACACTTATGTAGGCCTTCAAGGTGTTATTTTGTGAACGTGTTTATTTTTAACTCATTTCAAACAGGCCTTTTTGTTGTGGGTGGGGGTCTGGCGGATGTAAATTAGCTACCGACCCAACTTCGCTAACGTTAGCTAGGTTCGTAGGAGTGAACTTTTCAACATTTAGTTGCTTATAAATCCTGTCAACAGGTTGTAACATACTTTAATAACTTTTAATTATATACAAACAAACTAACCGACAAGCTGATCTGCGAGAAAGGCATTAATTATGTTTTTTGTAGGTTATCGCCACAGTTTTCTATGCGGAAGTGAGCGAAAAGAAATAAAACTTGTTTCGAATGAGATGGATATCAGACAATGTGTGGCTTAACAACAAAAATAAATAAGTTAGCCGTCTGTGAGACTATTAAAATTCGTATACGATATGTCAGTCAATTAACAGCAATGTTGAAGGAAATACAGCTTTTATTTATTTTCCTATAAGTAATATCTTACCGAAAATTGATTGATTCCAGTTTTGATTATTGATTTCATGTACATATATAGATTCATATGCAAAACGTTTGCTTCTGTCTAACATTGTGACGATTTACTTGCTGTTTTCATTATGAATTTATGGAGCTGCAACAATTAATCGAGTAGATGATATATGGAAAATTAAACTGCAAGTATTTTGATAATCAATTAAGCCTTTTAATTTGAAAATTTCTTCAGGCTTGAACTGTAAGTCAGACATAATAAAATATTTGAAGACGTCACCCTTGGAGTTTGGGGAATTTCGATGGGTAATTTTTGCAGTTTTTTGACATTTTATACACTAATTGATTGAGAAGTTAATGATCAGATTAATTGATAATGCCAATAATCATTAGTTGCAGCTGGAAAGGAATGCTTTCGATTTTTTGGCTGTAGATCAAAGTTAATTAGAGCTGAAAATGTTTTGGTTGATTTATCAGCAAGATGATTGATAGAAAATGAATTGGCAACTATTCTCATAATCAGTGAATTGTTTTTGTCATTTTTCCACCAGAAATGCCAAACATTCTCTGGTTCCAGCTTCTCAGACACATGAACGTTTAGTTTTTCTCTGTTTTTTTGTATAACAGTGAGCACATTATTTTTGAGTTTGAAATTCTGGGTGGAATTTGTTTTCACAGCCTCAGTGGTGCAGATACATGCAGTAGGCTACTTGCAGGCAGTTATTGTCATCATCAATTAATCTACATATTTTCTCGGTTAACTGCTGGTTAAATAGCTTTGTCTATAAAATGTCAAAATAGTGTAAAATTGCGCATTAAAATTCCCCAGAGTGCAAGGTGACAAATTCACATTTCTTAAAAATTGGGTCTGGTAATTATATTTTCAGATATTTTGTGAAGAAATCAATGGATCAGATTAATCAAGAATATAATCCTAAATTAGTTTGATTTATTTTTGGATTGAAAAATTACTTTCACCTGATATCTTTTAAATCATAGTTCATAGTTGTAGACAAACAAAGTAGGAGAAAATCCTCACATTTGAGAATCTGAAAATGACAAGTGCGACATTTTATGTCACATTTATGTCACAGTTACTTTTCTGTCATTGCACAAATCGATTAATCATCTAATCTTTTCATCAGTAAGCCGCTGGTAAATTTCATAAGAGTTGGTGAGCAGTTGTTCAATTTCAAAAAAATTAACCCCTATCCAGTTAAAGAGTGGTTCATTAATTAAAATAAATGCTGAGCCAGTAGTGAAAATAATCTCTTTCTGCATCTCCAAGCGCTGCTGATTGCAAAACAGAACCACCTCGATGAAGATAATAGTGTGTAGAAGAAACAATAGTGCATTTAAAAGACATGGCTGCCACTAACCGCCGCATTAAAAATGATCACTGTGGAGTGAATTGTTCTGACATAACTGGTGTCATCGTCCCTGCAGATGACCAGTTAACTTGTCCCTGACTCATCAGAGTTCAGCTGAGTGCTGCCACTGCCAAATGGCTCAAACAAAGAGCCAGTGATGAAGTGGCAGACCATACCCCTTTACCATTGTGCCCCTTAATGAAGCAGCAGCGTGGGTATGCGAGCTGCTCGGCGTCAGGGTGGTCACAGGATCTCCAGACAGTGTGTAGTAAACACTGCATTACACAGCTACCACTGTTTCCATCAACTGTCTCTCACTCAGTCTGCTTACAGATGCTCATGTCACCCCAGGTAACCTTGACACAGACAGACAGAAGGCTGCAGCTTGTTTACATGAAACTTACAAGACAAGACGAGGAAAAGTGGAGAAGGAATTTTACTATCTGTATACAGGCTACCCGCTTTAGTTACCAAGTATTTTCTTGATTGATAAATGTATTGTTTGGTCCATGAGATGTCAGAAAATGCTCATCACACTTTCTTAAAGCCCAAGTTGACAAGTCTTCAATTCATGTTTTTCCCTGCCAAGAGTCCAAATCCCAAATTGATTCATTTTAAAAGCATAGGAAACTAAGAAAACTTCCAAATATTCACGTTTGAGAAGCTGCTTAAAAATGACTTGAAGGATTAATCGTTTATTAAAACATTATTTTTCTGTCAGGTCCCTGTAGGGTGACTGACTAATCATGTCAGTTCTGCGAAAGTCAGAAGTTTCAAATGGGACGAAAAAGGAGAGATCATACTTTTAACCTTAAAACAATAAATAATCACTTACACGCTGCTTTTAACTTGCAAATGTTATCTGTGATTTTGGATTTTAAGAGTGTCTGGGACATTTTGAGAGCAAAGAAATAAAACACAGAAACTGCGCAACACTGGATACAGTGTTCACTTATGAAAAGGAAAAAGATTCATTTGGTTGAGTGTTGAAAAGGAAGCCTCTGGCACAATTATGTAATCTAATTATTAAATCCCAACTGGAGCAAATGATTACTTTAATTACCAATTAATCCAGTGATTATCCTCTTGATTATTCTGGTAGTTGTATATTAGTATGAAAAGCAAAGTGCCTATTACAAGTTATAGGGTGTTGAAATTGCTTATTTTTCCTTTCTTACTGCCTTAAAGACAAATTGCAGAGAACTCAAATCAACCAATATGAAAGTGAAAAATCAAGAACCTCTCTCCATATGTGAAGCTGTAATTATCAAATATTTGTCTGTTTAGAATTTACTTCTTCAAATTATAATTTACTATGAAATTTCTCTTACTCAAGTAATCAGTTGAACTAATTTCCATCAGTAAATTTCATATTATTCATGTATTTTGGAATAAGTGTCTTAAATTCAGCAGATGTAAATAAAACCATTAGATGAAATAAAATGAATGGTTCAGATAGGTTATGGTTTGATAATTTACATGTAGGAGTAGTATAATCTGTTTTAGCATAAAACAAAAACAGTGTTTTATTCAGGCAAAGTTCTTGTACAAGAGTCTGACCAAGCACTTGATGCCAGCTTTTGTACTTGACGGTTTTTGATACTTAAAGTTACTGACACTTTTCAGTCAGTCATCAAAAAGTAGTAGTGAAGTCCGACGTCAGCCCGAGCTATGGACGGTTTTTGTCTCCTCGCCTAATTAGAGCTTTTCAGTCAAAAAGTGTGAATGACCTTCTTCTCTTTCCCTGACCTCCCTGCCTCACCTTCACTCTTCCTCTACCTTCCTCCTCCTCAGATGCAGACTATAAAGTGCGTGGTGGTGGGTGACGGTGCGGTGGGGAAGACCTGCCTGCTCATCTCCTACACCACCAACAAGTTTCCCTCTGAATACGTCCCCACGGTGAGTAGAACTAATAACGCAAACAAATCACCTGACACTTTTCATTTCACTGCGGCAAACTGATCATGACTGACATAGAAGTGACACTCTGAAGTAGTTACGTCAAAGTCCTTATAGGTGGGTCTTGCCACTCGGCAGCCATCTTGGCACCGCCCTGAGGCAGTTATTTCAGGCTAACAAGACCAGGGGAGAGAGTAGGGATGGGTATCGTTAAGACTTTAACAGTACTACTGCTTTTATCAATACCATTGTACTTTAACAGTACTCTTATCGGTGCTTTTTGTTATGTTGTAAGGGGAAAAAAAACTAAGAACAGAATTAATATTGCTTATTTTTCTCATTTATACTCGATTAACATTAACTCCAGGGTGACCCAGAGCTGCCCCCGCCCCTCACACACCCAGGGTCAGAGAGAGAGAGAGAGAAAGAGAAGTCTCTCCTCTGGATTAGGAACAGCGAAAATGCATCGTTCATAGACGAATGTCTTGATCAGAAACGGAGTTGGCGAGATAAAATTTGCGAGAACTTTAATGTCGCATCATATGACGCAATAAATTTTCTTAATTTCTCAAGTACTGAGAGCAGACACCGATAATGTCGGAGCTTATCGATACTCCTGTGTTTAAAAATTTAGCCCGGGGGCCCGTTTTTAATTCCAGGTTTCGGTACCCATCCCTAGGAGAGAGCCATAACGTCACTTTCAATGGTCACCAGGACATAAAAACCACATGTACAAAATCACCTCAAACCTGATTTAAAAAACTGCTTGAATAGTTTGGTGACTTTGCCCCAAAATAAGGTTTAGACTTCTACTACACTACTGTTACAACTGTTGTAAACCTCATCTGTGCACTTGCATCAGTGCAAGAACACGATTGGCTTGATATCGGCTGTTATAAGGCACATGATTGGATGTTTCAGAGGCGGGGCGAGACTTGTCATACAACAGCCATCTTTGGGGACTTTTCTCTTCTTTAAGTTTGTTTCCTCCCTAATAATATCTCTGATAACGTTTTCCATTTACTGCTCTGAACACTCTGTAGCTAACACCTGTAGCTGTTTCCTGTCACACAGGAAGTTGTGCTTGTTTATAGTTTGTCTGGACTGAACAGACATGAAAAGGACGGTGTAGTGTCACCGAAACTAAAAAGGCCTTTACAGTAAATCTAACCAGTACCAGCACTGCTGTACAGCACGCACACAGCTTACTGTTCAATGAGGGATTGTTACTCACTTCTCAGATGTACTAACATTTGGTTTTACCTTCAATAAAAATTGTGCAGAGCACCGATAGGAAGAAGATTGATACCGCTATCATGTCTGCTCATTAAATATGAAACTACAGCCAGGGGATGATGAGCTTAGCTTAGCATAAAGACTAGAAAAGGGGCAACAGCTGGCCTTGCTCTCTCCAAAACTATCACAATCTGTTTCGGCATCTCTAAAACTCATTCATTTTAAACAAGGAAAATGTTGAACAATTCCTTTAATGTTACATTGTCAGAAGGCTGGACCATGTCTGTGCTTTTGAGAGACATACATTTATGAAACAGGAACAGCATTTGAAAAAAAGAAGTTGCTGTTTTTCTCACTCACAAGTGTGTTGGTGATGTTTTCCCAGTGTGTTTGGTTCTTGCTGTTTGGGTGGATTCTTAGGACTGCAGCCTGTTTTTGTGTGTTTGTGTGGGTTTATATATGTGTATGTACAGGACTGTGCGAAAGCTTCTGGCCCTACAAGCAAACTGAGGACATGCTTTCAAAAATAATGTCATGAATAGTTTTTATTGATCAGTTAACTTCATACAAAGAGCAGCAAACAGAAAAAAAAACAAATCAAATCAGCACCAGTTCTCTTCAGTACACCTGCACTCACTTCTTCAGGTTCTTGGCAGGTAGGTTGTTCCAGCATCTGCCACAGTTCTTCTGTGGATTCATGTGATCCCAGACTGACTTCATGATGTTGAGATCAGGGCTCTGTGGGGGTCAGACCATCTTCTGCATGACTCCTTGTTCTTTTTGTCTATGAAGATTGTTCTTTATGACTCTGGCTGTGAGTTCTGGGCTCATTTGTCCTGCTGCAGAATGAATCTGAGACCTCCTGATGATGGAATAGAATCTAAACATCTAAAGTGCCTTAATATTTTGCACAGGACTGTATATGTATGTGTACATGTACAGTTGTTTACTTTCATGTACCAGCAAGTTACATCATCTGAGATCCTCTGGAGTTTGTCTCCCTACACTTCCTGTTTGACTCTTCACTATTCAGAAGTGTTGTGTCATGCTGAAGCAGCACAATGAGGGTGCAGCAGCCTCAAAGCCTCTGGAGACTGATATAAAATCCAGACTGTCGCCTCAGCCTCATCGATCCTGCAAACTCTGACTTTTTGGTTTGGGACAGTCAGAAAACAGCTGACCGACTGTTGACATGCAGGACCGTGCTGCTGGAAATATCTGAAGTATCCCCAATTGATGGGCAGCTTCACCGAGCGGTGGCTGCTAACTGATGAGTAATTCTCTACTGTTTTCTATTGGTACCACATCGCTCCATCTGTCAGTGGTCAGCACAGTGTGATCAGAGGATTACAGAACCAACAGTGCTGACTCAGCTTTATCTTCTTCTTCCTGTCTGACTGTCTCACGCACCTCGTTCCTCCTACCACTGTTTTTAACCATTTGCTTTAAATGTGTCAATACACTCTTGGTTTTTCATCAGTGATAAATTCATAGTTGGATTTAAATATGGAGACATGTCACTTATTCATATTTACTATTTGAAATGGGCAACTAGATAAAGTACATTTACTCACAATACGTAATAATATTGTAATATAATAAAAGAATAAAGTTACAGTACTTTAAAAATAAAGTTGAAATATTTTGAGAAGTAAGTTGTAACGTTATAAGAATAAAGTCATAATCTCAAGAAAAACGTCATAAACATCAACTTTATTCTGGAGAGTTTGAATCATTCTTGTCTTATCAACAAGCAAAAGTTGAAAATAACAAATAATTAAAAAATAATAAAATAAAAAAGTTTTATTATTGCGGGATGTTTATTTTGATACTTTGTCATAGTGAACAATTAAAAAATTCTTTACTTTTAAAAACTTTATTCTTGAAATAAATGAATATTGTCGCATTGTTTTGTGACCCATTATTATTTTTATTGCACACTTAACATCCTGCTCCTGCCTGTTGTATCCCGTTGTCCCCATGACAAATATTGTAGATTTATCTTAAACCTTTGAAACCAACAATCACAACTGATGATTTGATTCGTTGTCGTGCAGCCCTGAGCTGACTGACCAGCAGCGCTGAACAGAACACTAAAAACTTTCAACCTTTCAGCTGCTCGCCCTTTAAAAAAGATTATTGTATTTAGCGAGAGCTGCTAATGTTTTTACACACTGTCATCCTCTTCTTCATCCTTCTGGCAGTCTCAGCACAGTGTCAGATATCAGTAGAGGAAGACACTGACTTCTGCTCATTCTCCTTAAGTGTGAACAGCTGTTACAGAAATAAATTCATACCTGTGAACATACACAAACTTTTTATTTCGTCTTAACGCTATTGTGTGTTTGTGTTGTTTCCTGTCAGTCAGCTGACAGCCACCACAATAACAAATCAGGAGAGAGGAAGAGGAAGTCTCCTCTAGGAAATAATTCCTCAAAAACATGTGGCCTCACAAGAATCTAATGTCACATCTGTAACGTTTCATCTGGACCTTTGCAGCTCTAAATAACACAAATACTCTCTGGCTTGTGTTCTGTGTGGCTGCAGCTCTTTTCCACAGTGACTCGTCTGTGTTGTGATCAGACTGTTTCCAGCAGCTTCTGTAGTCTGAGCTCCATCCAAACACATTATCATCACAAAACTGTATCTGCTTCTGTGTGTGTGTGTGTGTGTGTGTGTGTGGCTTGTATTTTTATTGAACTCTATGAGTGTGTGTGTGTGTGTCTCAGTGCCTCACCCCTCCGCCGTGCCTCAACATATCACACTATGTTTCTGCTAAACTTGAACTGACTTGTACTTCGTCCTCTGTGTGTTTGTGTGTATGTTGCTGTGCATGTTTGTGCGTTACAACCTGAACTGTCTTGTCGTTCTTTCTGAGTGAAGTCCAAAGCTTTCTCTTAGTCTGGAAAAACAAAACCTGCAAGTTGTTATGATGATATATTTTTTAGTCATGCTTGCAGCACAGCTCTAAGGATGGTGATGTCTGTCAGTCGGTTGGTCCACTTCTTTGGTCCAGACTGAAATATCTCAACAGCTATTACCATGAAATTTTATACAGACGTTTACAGTCCCCTGAGGATGAATTTTAACAACTTAAATGATCCTATGAGATCTAGCACCACCAGAGGGCCAACATTTTAATTTGTCCATTTTTTTGTGTAAAAAAAACCTGCCAACCTAATTCTCGTCATTCCCCTTCAGCCTCAGCTGCACTTTGTGTTTAGTGCTAATTAGCAAATGATGGCATGCTAACAGCCTAAAGTATGATGGTCAACATGATAATCATGACAGCTAAACGGCACTTCAGCATTCATTGTGAGCATGTTAGCATTAGCTTGGTACAGCCTTATGGACCATGCTGGTTTTAACTCTGGACAGGTATGATTGACAGGTATGGATCTTCTCATTAAACTCCAATAAATGTATGCCCCTAAATGATGAAACTTTCATTTTGAAATCAGGTTTAAAACGATGAGGCTTTGTTTGAAGATGCTGGAACTTTTCAGTGCTGGTGCCGATAGCATGCCTCACCAGCTGACAGAAAATCATCAGCCAGCTATTCTGACATTTTATTAATTGTTTGTCATGTTTTAAAGGAAAATGCCAAAATTAGTTTTTCTCAAATTTGTTTGTCCCCCAGTTTTCAATGCTAGTAAATCCTAAATGTTTTTTTTTTTTTTTTTACTGTTGATCAGGTGAAAAAAAGACATTTAATTATGTTCATTTGAACTTCGGTGAATATTCTCTGACATTTGATAGACTAAACAATCAATTATTATCAAAGAAAATATTATAAATCTGAAAAATATAAATAATCATAATATGAAAATACTTGATAATTAAAACAAATAAATTGCAGTTTCATAAAACAAAACTTTACAGCAAACGTAAACAAAAGCAATAAAGGTCCTAATAGTGGATTTTGACAAGAGAAGGCAACAACATGGAGGACCTGTCACTGTTAATATTCTACTTCAGTGGTACAAATTACATGGCCCCAAATCATATGGAGTAAATCTGAGGCTTTTGAGGCCCCTGGGAAGTTGCCCACTTTGCCTGGTTGGTAATCTAGCCTCGTCCAAAATTCTAATTTAGCAAGTGCAGAAGAACTTGCCAAAAGAAAATCTTAAACTGGCAAAATAATCATTTAAATCAGAGACTATCTGATTAAAGATGCCAGCTTTCAGTGTGTTGATAGCTGCTGCTACAGACAAACTGTGCAACCAGCATTTCCAGTCACCCACTGTGAGCCTGCCTCTGTAAATAAAGACCAAACAGATACAGGAGGAAACACAGCTTAAATCCATGTTTGTAACACTTGATGTACTTTCCTATCCTACAGGCTACATCCTGTAGTTCATCCGGAGCCTGCCTGTGCTTACGGAGCGTCATTAAAATCAAACGGTGTCTGCAGGTTACAGCGGGCCACAGCAGGTCGACATGTCGAAGCCGTGCTGTGTATTCAAGCAAGGCACAGCGACTATAAAACCCTCCCTGCTTCAGTTCACCGCCCCGCTCACAAAGCTGAGGTTAGCAGGCACGTCGGGGCCGTGCTGTTTGTTATTGCACATGGCAGCAGCCTGAAGGTACGACGCTGATGAAACAGGGAGGAGGGGAGCGAGTCTGTTCACCTGAACAGCACCACAGCAGTACTCCCTTTGCCAGCATTCAGCTTGTTCACATTCTTCAACACCACACGGATTCTCTAATCGTTCTGTAATGTGGATATTTACAGACATTTAAAATGGTTTGAACTTGATTATGGTCAATTTAGCTGCTGAATTGAATAAGATAATACGTTTACATGCCTTATTAGTTATTGAGGCCCTACCTTTGGAAACAGGTTATGTCCCCTATTCCCACAAGCCAGTAACAATTTAAGAACATAATTGCGATTTTGTCAGATTTATGTTGCCAGAGAGACACACCACTGTTACTGTGAAATCAAGCAGCAGCCTGATTGCAGACCTCTAAACGCCCACATCGCTAAATGTGGTCAGTGATTCAAGCAGGTCTGAGGTTGAGCTCCTTGACTGTTGTTTCCCACAGATGATGAAATAATTGACCATATAATCGGAGCTTTGTAGGCAGAATTAAGACCATAGGTCATGTGTGTGTGTTTGTGTTTGTGGGTGTGTTTGTGTGTGTGTGTGTGTGCGCACGTGTGTGTGTGTGTGTGTGTATGTATGTGTGTGCGCCAAAGCCAAAACAATAGCAGCTGATTAATCACCACAAGTGTGGATGTTACTGTCGCAGCTGTGCAGGTTGTTGAAACTCCATTTACAGAAATGTCAGCGCTTAAATCAGCCTGTCTTTGCTTATTGTGAAAAGTGTTAATTGCCCCTAGCACCAGTTACACAATTTATGAATCAACTGAATATGACACATCCGTCCCACAAATGCTGCATCATGTGTTATTCATTGTTTAGGATTATTGAAAACACCCCATCCCGTAACAGCGAACATGAACACATCGGTCCTGTTGAATGAATAAAGTGGGAAAAAAATGATAAATAATTCAGATTATCAGGCTACTGAAGAAGCAGACTTGATTTGCTTTAATTTTATTTTAATATTAAAACACACCCATAGATAGATTACTGTTATTAATATTTGGAGAAATAAATTGACTGTTAATAAATCTTGATCAGTTTGAAAGAAAAAAACAACAACTTTTTTTTCTATCTTTTTGGAAAAGACACTGATAAATATTGTTGCATTGTCCCAGTATTTACACACCTACACACTTCTGTGAATTTACATAATTAAGGTTTAAAACCAAAAGTAAGAACCAGCTACTCCAACACTTCCTGTCCTTTCTTGTACAAAAAAGGGGAAAACAACAATGGGGGGGCTACAGTGATGTGAAACCGTGTGTGTGTGTGTGTGTGTGCGTGCGCACGTGTGTGTGCTGCCATCATTGTCAAGCATGAGTTTCAGACCTTGACAGAATGGACATTTTTGGAAAGTGAAGACATTTTGTCTGGTCCTCACTTCTTCTTCAAAGACTGTTTTATGTAGATTTAAATTTAAGGAGTGAATGCTTCATGTCATTCAAAGTCCTTACAAGTACAAGTACAGAACAATGTGTGTGTTTAAAAATGAGAAAAATATTTCCTGTTTTGTTCTGAAGAAGATCTTAAGTCATACATCTTTTCACATATGTACTTCCTGTTTCCCCCCTTTCCTTTGTGCTCTCTCTCTCTGTCTTTCTCTCCAACCTTTACCTTCTTATTATTCCTCATTCTGCCCCCCTCCTCACCCCTCTCTCCTCACCCCTCTCTTTCTCTCAGGTGTTTGATAACTATGCAGTGACTGTGATGATCGGTGGGGAGCCATACACTCTGGGACTGTTTGACACTGCAGGTAAAAAATAAAGCCTGCTTACAGTTTATAAGGTTGTGTGTTGATTAATATTAATTAATAGAGCATTATTAATATTAGATATTAATGGAGTATCTGTTGTAGTAGCAGAAAGCTAAAATGCTGGAGCAGGTTTCATCAGCTAATCTCAGGATGCTCTTGTTTCAGCTGTAAAAGCGCTGTCTCTGTATTTTAGCTTTACTTGCTACATTTCGTTCAGTGTTTGTTGTTGTTTGCTGTTAATCAGAGTTTGTTGTTGTTGTCTCCCCCTTCAGGCCAGGAGGACTACGACAGACTGCGACCCCTCAGCTACCCTCAGACCGACGTCTTCCTCGTCTGTTTCTCCGTCGTATCACCCTCCTCCTTTGAGAACGTCAGAGAGAAGGTTTGTTTAGTCACTCTCTGTCACCTGGTCACCTTTTCAATAACCAATAATTTCCTGTTTAGTTTTGTGTTGTGTCCGGATACAAGATAAAATGAATAATCCCACAGGGAGGAAGACAGAAATTCTAAAAAGTGGACTAGAACAACAATCTGTTTTTTAACTAGTTGTTTTTTCGAACTGTTTTGCTGTTTAACAACCACAGAAACAACTTTAAGTTTAACTTTCTTACTTATTTACTGTCTCAGTGTGTGAAAGTTACTGTCAACATCTCTGCACATGTGGATGATTTAGCTTTCCATTAGCATTTAGCTAATCAATGATCCAGATTTGGAGCAGGGATTTTCAGTAGTTGCAGTAAACCTTCAGCACAGGTACAGTGAAATTACTATTTATTATAAATTAAATTTCCTCAAGCAGGAAAACTGAAAACATTAGGGGAATAGAGAACAGTATGTTGGAGCAGAGTTGTGCTAGATGGCTAGAGACAGAAACTGTGCCCCAACATAATCTGACATCTGTCTTCACAGTGGGTGCCAGAGATTTCACACCACTGCCCGCGGACGCCATTCCTGCTGGTCGGGACTCAGGTGGATCTGAGAGACGACAGCAACACTCTGGAGAAACTGGCCAAGAACAAACAGCGAGCCCTGACCTGTGAGAGCGGAGAGAAGCTGGCTCGAGAGCTCAAGGCCGTCAAATACGTGGAGTGTTCAGCTCTCACGCAGGTAGAATCTGCAGCTGTTCTCTTGTAGGCAGGTCATTAAAAGACAGTAAAAAGAAATATCTTCAACAATAACAATGTCACAAGAATTTATTACACACTTTTGTGAATTAAGAAGCGGATAATTCAGGTTTCAAAAGCCAAGTGTTTAGTTAGTGTGGAAACATCTAGTTACTAAACTGATTGCAAGAAGAGACAGGTGTGGATTAGACTGACTTAATGCAGCAGACAGTGATTGATTGATCACGTCTTATATTTGCTTTGCACGGTGTCAGAATAAACAGGAAATATTCTGACGTTTTTTATTTATTTAGAAAAAAATTCTGACAAACGTCTCCATCAGTTACAGTTCGTCCGGGGTGGGAGAGGAAAAACTCGGCTGCACAAACAAAAGAGGCAACGCCAACTATTGTAGATTCTTACAGTCTTACAGTCTGCAGCTGTCTTAATAATGATTAATTGCTTACGCCGTTTTTCAAGATAAAATGCCAAACATTTGATTGTTCACTCTCTATAACTGAAGATTTGCTGCTTTTTATTGTTTTACTTTTCAATGAATTACTGTTGATGAGACAAAACATGACATTTGAAGACATCACACCGGATGCTAGATGACTATGAGGGACATTCTTCACTAATTTCTTCTTTTTTTTTTTTTTATCAACCTAATCATGACTCGTGGTTAATACGTGTAACACATGGGCGTAAAAACACTGAGCAGCAAGTTCCCAGTTCAACTCCAGTCTGACCAGACCATTTACTGCATGTCACGCCCCCGCTCTCTCTCTCCCCACATTTCCTGTCTGTCGTAACTGCCACTGTCAAATAAAGACATAAAATGCCCAGGAAAATAGCTTCCAAATGTACTGTATATATAACAATAATTGGCAGATTAATCAGATTAATCAGTGATTGAAATAATAAATTACAGACCTCATAGTGAGTTTCAATGTCATTGAATGAGGATGATCAGTCACCCTTTAGATTGTTGCATGAAGTTGCTAAATTTCAACAGAGAGAACTGAAAGATACTGAAGGACTTTCAGAATGATTCGTAGAGCTCCTGTCTGGAATAAAACCAGCTGTTCTGTACTCACCTGACACATCTGCTCCTTTTATACTTTATGTTTTCTAATGGAATACAGGTCTGTGATGATCCGTAGCAGAATGACATGAACGCTTTGTCTGCGGTAGAGGAAGAAGAAACGGGCACGACAGAGTCAAAGTGTCCTTGTAAAACATTTTTCTGTCAGCCTTTATCACAGTTTATCTTTAATGATGAACTTTTCCACCTGAGCCAAACGGAAAAATATTTTTGCTATATTTTGTCTTTTCTTGTTATTTCTGGCGTTTCCACTCAGTTCTTTGTTTTATTTTTACGAGCAAACAAAGCTCATCAGTTTTTCTCTCTCTGTCTTTGTCTCAGAGGGGACTGAAGAACGTTTTCGATGAGGCCATCCTGGCAGCTCTGGAGCCTCCAGACAACAAACCCAAGAAGCGCTGTGTCCTGCTATAGACGCCACAGGAGGAGGAGGAGGAGGAGGAGGAGGAGGAAGTGGAAGTGGAGGTGGACGGGGGGGAAGAGATAAACCCAGACGGGAACAGAGGGAGGGAGTACCGAAGGGAGGGGGGAGGGTGTGAAGGTGGATGTGGCAGACACATGTTTTAACAGTGCCTTCAGCCTTAGTGACTTAATGCGGGTGTGGTGTTGGAACGGACACAGGCTTTATTTTTCGTCATAGATACGTGTCGCCATAACAAAACTAACACATTTGAAAAGCACGCCTAACCAGGAAACAGGCTTTTTGTTAATAGGAGGAGGCAGGTCGCGCAGTAGAGAGGTTTGAATCTCAGATTAAAGATACAGACAGTGGATGGAGTCACGGTTACAGCTGAACCTGGGAACCACCTCAGAAACTCTCTTAAGCTTTCAAAAGCTTCCAACACAAATTATAAACATCTTCAAGCTAAAGAATTGTATAAAATACGTGGAATAAATTTCAGAGGGAAAAAATGTGTTTGTTCAGTGAACACAGCTGTAGATCACACTCCTTTTTTGCCGTTGATGTGAGTCCTGCACCAATCAAATTTAGAGAACTAATTTAGGTCTTTCAATATTAACAAAAATAACATGTTTCTGATATTTTGTCTTTTCCACTGCAAACTGACCCACTATCATGGAAACATAGTCCAGAAGCAGAGAATGGCTGCTTAGATCATAACCATTATAATTCTAATCACAATTAAACCCAAGTAGTTAAGTCCTTTCAAAAAGTTTGAAATCGAGCAAGCTGCTGTCATCACATTTACAACTGACCAAAGTTAGAAAAATAATTCTTTGAAGCATAACACACATACTGGTGTAATCGCATCCTTTCCACCTCTGCTTCTGTTAGAGTTTACATTTAGAAGATAAAATCTGGACAGTCAGAAGAGAAGGCATCATCAGTGATATTTGTTACCAGCACAAAGTCGGATTAAAACGAGAGAAAGGACACAGTCCTTAAGCAAAAAATAATGGTGCTTAATTTAAAGATGCCCGAAGCGGAGACATGATCCAGCTGATCTACATTCCCTGCAGCCTCGTAGACCAGAGGTTCAACAGTCGACAGTGTTGTTGTTAAAAAAAAAACAAAAAAAAAAACATATCTACTAATCAGTGGTGACTATAACCTGACTTCATCTATATCAGTAGAAAGAGACCAGAACTGGTAACCAGTGGGGCTTAACTGACATCTGCTTTGCAGTATAAAAGACAGGTACATGATGCAGTAGTTAATGATGATGAATATGCGTATTTGCAGTAATCTAACAACAAGAGAGATGAGCGTTACAAGTTACAAACCTGACTTCCTTGCTGTCATGTGATAAATGCTGCTTTCCAAAATGTCAGAAATAAATAATTCAAACCTCAGAATTTCCTTCAAATGTCTGGAAACATGAAAAACGTGTTGAAGTCACAGGGTTTTCACGTGACAACACAGAGGGTGATTATTTGGCAATTCAAACATTTGCACATAACAGCACTTTTTTTTTTTTCTTTTCTTTTTTTTTTTAACTTCTCTGTCCTGACGTCTCGCTGGGGACACGTCCCATCCTGAACCGAACACTCCAGCTCCACTGAGCTGTGAGTCACACTGTCAGTGGAGATCCAGTACGTGTTTTCCTGAAAGCTAACAACCACATACAACCTAATATAGAGCATTGACTGAAGGTGTTACACGAGGAATTTTAACATCATTAATCAACACAACATGAGTTTTGCTGCAGACAAACAGAAGTCTCAGAGCTGGACTTTCTGCTGCACGTAAACTTTCAGAGTTTCTGGTGGCGAAGAAGAGTGACGGCCTGAAAGTCCAGAATTGCATGCTTTTCTAATCTGTAATTGAATGCTCCAAGTGGTAATTAACCCCAGGAATTGCAGATAAAAGGACATCATCTGATAAAAGTAGTCATTTTTAAAGTGCAAAAAAAAAAATTAGAAATGCCTTCATGTTACTGCATCATCAGTGACAGTCTTAACTTGTTTTGTTTGTCCATTAAAACTTCCAGCTGCTACAGAAGTTGACTGTAAATGCCTTAAAATATGCCTTACTGCTGAAAACCAGTCAAATCCTACAAAGTCAGTCCACACAGCAAAAGGTTTGAGGCTTAAATCGAATCTGCTAATTGAAATGTTTGTCACTTTTATTTTGAAATCCATATGTAAAGCTGTTGTAGTAGATGTGGCTGAGAAGCAAACATTTCACACCCACACGCGTGCACACACACACACACACACACACAGGACCTCCTCAAACATTGTCCACTCCTTCTTCTCTCTCCTGGCCCTACTGGAACCTCAAGTGCTCGTTGGTGTGTTAGCACCTCCCGGAGGCCTTAAAGGGGAAATGCGGCTCAGTTTAAAGGTTCATCTGTGTTGTGCCTCTGGTAGATCATCAGTGTTTGAAGCTCAGATCTCAGACCTGAATTCATAATGTCACAAGAAGCAGCTTCACAGACAGTAACTTTAGATTTGTGTGAGGAGTTTTTGCACAGATGAGCCTTGTTTAAGTTGCTCTTATAATTTTCAAATAAGAAAATGCAGGTGATAATAAGATCATACATTTCTACAGTAGATTCCTAACACTGATTGTCCTGTACCGAGGTGGTAACAATTTCAATCTTTAAACTGAGGGTATTTCCCATTAAAATGAACTAAACTTCCACTCTGCTTATATATTTTTTCCATTGTTTTGGAGATGACGGTTTATTCTGATTCATGTATGAATGATTACAAGTATTATATTTTTTTTTTTCTTTGCTCCTAATTGTTTCTTGAGGAACATTATTTTAGCTTCTTTTTTTCTTTTTTTTTGGACACTTGAGTTTTTATTTTCCTTTTTCTTTTTAGATATTTGTACCATTTACTTGACAGTTGAGTGCCAACAGCTTGAGTGAGTATCACTGGCCTGGTTTGTCAAACTAAACAATCCTGATAATAAGCTTCTAATCGCAGAAAAAAACAACAACATAATAACAGCTGAAGCAATAATTACAGATGTGGAAAACTCTGTATTGAAAGATGAATGTTGGAACTGGTGGGTGTTTGGAAATAATAAAAACAGTACTTGAATGTTGTTTCACTTTGACTTGATTCTATTTTTCTTATCTTACAGTTTAACCACATTCCTCTGCTCCACCTTTTCTTATCATCTGCATCAGGCAACTCACGCCTGATCACTTGTTGATTGTGTCTGTTTTGTTTTCTTTCATTCTTTATTTGAAATAAAACTTTCTTTTCATGAACAAAATGCATAAGACGTTGACTAGTATTGTTGTATTGGGTAATTAGTTAGAAATCAGAAAACGTGTCCAATGACTTTTAATAACCCTCCAATTTAAAAAGAATTCAAAATGTGTCTTTTTTTTTTATAGTCAAAGACAATTTTCATATTCAAGAACTTTCCACAGCAACGGGAAGACAACATTTTTGGTTGTGAATTTGTTTTAAAGAATTCTCAAACTCAAAATTTAAAAAAGAAATTTTAGCACAAGCCCAAAAATAATGTTCACGAAATAATTTTCATTGCAGTTATAACCATGGTCAGACTAGAAAGGTAACCTTTAAAGATTTACAACTGATGGTGACTTGACTTTATTCTTTCTCTATGAGGCCTGTAGTAGTATATTTTGTGTAGAAAACACTTAAGAACTAAAACCACCAGTCTGAACCAGTGATATGCGGATCCTAAAATGCTTTAGAGTTCTCAAGATTGTGTGGAGACTGAGTTAAGAGTGTGTTTTTAAAAGGCAAAAAAAAAAAAAAAAAAGGATTAAGCACTTTAGAAGTCATAACGGAAGATACAGAGAAACGCAAATTTAATGCTATGACAGAAGGGCACGTTTGGAAATAGATTAACAAAAGTAAAATTTTAGTGTTTTAAAAGGGGAAGGGGAAATTTGTCTTGAAGCTCAATGAAATGAAACGCAAAGACACAAACACAAAAGATTTTTAAAAATACATAAATCGTATAATAAAAATATATGTGATGTAAAATAATCTCTCAATTAATAGTTCTTCAACTACATCATTTAATTCCCTGATCATAACTAATTATTTTAAAGTGTACAATAATTTCAGTGGCACCTTTCAGACTCCATACTGTCTGCTCACATGTGGTCGGTGGCTGGAGGGTTAATGCAGTACCCCATAGTGAACACTAGGGGGAGGTGTTCCACTGGTTTTAAGTGGGCCTCGGTGAATACAGTATGTAAATGACCTGGGCTCATTTTGATTGGCAGTCTAAAATGGATCCTTCAGACCGACATGGCGTGGAGGATCCGAGCCACTCGATCCTTTGTCTGACTGACGGCAGCGACTGAGCCTGAAGCAGACTGAAGGAAACTGTTGACTGTTCATTCACACCGCAGTCCGGTCTGTCTTTCCCCCCTGCCCTCCTCTCCAGCCCCCTTTTCCCATCATCCCTCTCTTTCTTCTTCTTCTTCTTCTTCATCTCTGATTGTTTGAGGTTGGAGTCTCCTCAGCTTCACTAAAACCTTGAGTCGCCCCCATTTCACAACAGTCCCAGTCCACAGCGCTCAAAGGGAGTTATTCTTATTATTGTAACACTTATTGTTCACAGGCATTTTATTTGCACTTAATCCCAGTGTTGTGTGTTGATTTGGGAATATGACTGTAGCTCTGTTGTTATATTAAAAGACAATAATCAGGTTATTTCATCCATCTAAATATTTGACTATAGCCTCCAAAAAATTATTTTATTCATTAATTTAACATGTTAACTACTTCCTGTACATTTTATCTCCCTATCCCAAATGTTGCTTTTCTATTGTCATGTATTCTGTTGTAGAATACTAAAACTCTTTCATTCTGATTTAATAATATATCTTCAATTATCTGTCTAAAACCAGTCAGATTTGAATATATTTAGTCTAAAAACTAGTTTCTCTCTTGTCTGTTAATTTCTCTTTTTTAAAAAAGATTTTGAACTTGATGATAAAATAAACTTTGTATGTCAGTTTTCTCAGATGCAAAACAGAATTTAGTGTTTCCTGCGTTTTTGGCCGCGGCGTTCTCTTTTTAAAGTTTGGGGATTTGATTTTTAAATCAGGCAGACGTTTGGTCTCCAATCTTTTGATTCATGGCATGAAAATCATTTAACAGATTCTTTACCACTTGAAAACGAACATTTAAGTCTGCACCCATCTGTTTGTTGGACAAGGACTGTGACTGTATTTTCCTTACAGACAGTGTTTTTCTGCTGAGTCATTGTTCCTCCTGTCTTCACCTGTTCCGTGTTGAGGTCTGATGTCTTGCTCTTTTCAAGAGGACGACACTTCCTGAAGCAAAACACTTGACTTTTTAATGAACTGGTTAAAAGTAACTAATTACTTTCATTCTAATTGAATAATTATTTCCACTTGAATGCGACACTTTCTGCTCTGTATTTAAGAAGGAAATATTTTTACTCCACTACTTTTATTTAATAGTTACATTTCAGATTAATTTGTTCATCTTAAAACGTTTGATAATCTAATCCAGCTCAAGCTTTTTAACATCAAGGACCATAAACCGACACAAATGAGACCACAGACCCCCATCTAACAAGAGCTTTGCTTTTGGATGTTTTATTACAGAAAGTGTTTGAAACTCACGACCAAAAGAGTCCTTCATTCTGTCATTGTGTTACTTTATTATATTGAGTAATTACTTTGAGAAACCACTGATCCGATCAAATCCAATGCATTGTAATAGATTAAACTACCCTTCAGTATAAAAACTAGTTAAATCGGCTCCACCTTAACCAGTTACAACAGTAAAATGCTGCTTACACATTAATGCATCAATATTTATGACATTACAATATTTGTCTACTTCTACTTTTGATACATTTTCCTGATAATGCGTTTAATTTTTTTCCACAGTAAAATGTTCCGCTTGTAATGGAGTGTTTTCATTGGCTTGTATTGGTGATAATAAGTAAGTTTTCACATATGCAACATGCAGTTCTCAGATTTCAGTTAAATAACTTCTGAGTCTTGATGCTGGGTCTGAAAATAAAGACAAGAAAATGTATTCAATCAATAATTTAAACTTTGATTTTGGTTCCACGTCAGTGTTGATCGCTTAAACCGTCTACATTTAAGTCATTTAAAGTTTTGCTCAAAAGAACAAAAAAAAAACAAACAAACATTCTGAACATTTTTTTGAAATAAAAAGAAAAGTTTTTAAACTGAAACTAAACCGGACAAGTCTGTCACATTTTCAAAGGTGGTTAACCAGCAGGTTAAATCAAAGGAGAGCTACAGTGAACTGACTGACGCTGGATCAGTTTCAGTTTTACTTTGTGAGACTTTATTTATGTGGCGGCCATCTTGTCTTGTTGCTGATTCAGCCTCTGACACTTTGACTGCTGTCTGTCCCAGCGCGCCTCGCTCTCTGCTGCTGCTGGTTCGCCTGGTGCATATTATTGGATGTCCATCTGACCTCATTATAAGTGCGTTGCCACAGGCAACCAGCCTGGAGAAGAGGAAGGACGGGGTGAGGGTGCGTGGACGGGGGGGAGAAGAGTTGCATCATGGGATAGAAACCTGACCTCTCTCTTTCTCTTTTTTTTTTCTTCCTTTTTTTTCTTGCTCTTCTCTCAGAGGACGCACATGTGCACAAATGCACATGTGTACACGTGCACACATGCAGCTCATGCAACTGCACACACGCGCACACACACACACACACACACAGACATACACACTTTGTCTAAACAAAGATACATCAGGGAGGAGGAGAAACAGTGTGTCGAGCCTCTTCATTCTGAGTCTGAGCAACAATACAACATTTGTTTCTGGCTGAATGTAAAGAAAAAACACAACAACAATGTACAGACACACTATGAACACTATTGTTGAAGAAAACCGACTCTGCATGTGTCCGTGTTTGTGTATTTTATGTGTCTGTTCAAGGTCAGTTTAATCTAGTTCTCAAGTTGAACTTATTTGTCCTTTAAACTTTTGTCTTTGTGATCGTACGATAAACTTAGCGTGTCTGCGTTTGCATTTGGTGTGTGAGTGAGTCTGCATGTGCAGAGTCTGTATGTGATATTGTGTGTTCAGCGCTGTAGTCGTGATTATACGTGTGTGTTCAATTAAACCCAAAAGTGTTAAATAAAGCACGGTGTAGTGGAGAAAAGTTGTGCGACGTGTTTTAATGTTGATGCACGTGGTCTGCAGCTCTTGTGGTTGTGTGTCACAGTTCAGTTTATTTTGTGTGTCTGCGCGTCATGAATTTTATGTTTTATTGCGTCTTCAGTTTTATTTCCGTGTGCGTTTGCCTTTCGTGTGATACAGCACCTTTAAATCTGTGTAGATGTGTGTGTAATGTTGTGTGTCTGTGTGTGTTTCCTGTAGTTTTTGTATTGTGTATTTGCGTTGTGAACTTTGTGTATGAGTTTGCCTTGAATTCTGAATTCTTTATGTGTCTACGCTTTTGCCGTAATGCTTTTATTTGTGTGGTGTTTTGTTTTATGAAATTTGCGTATTCATGTGTTTTAATAGTCAGAGTGTCTGTGTGTTGTGTGTCCACCTCTTGTCTGTGTGTTCAGTTTTGTAGTTGGTGACCCGTATACTCCATATTTCATTTTGTGTCTCTGTTTATCCTTGTTAATGTATATTTTTGAGTGTGTATTTTGTTGTGTACTTTTGTGTGTTTGTGTTATGTTCATGTCTTTAATCTTGTGTGTCCGCCCTTAGTCTGTGTTGGGCTCGTGTTTTCTTATGCGTCTGTGTTCATGTATGTTTTTTGGGTGTATAGAATACTTTTGTGTCTTTCTTTTGTTAACATGTTTCATTTTGTGTGTCCAGCATATGTGTGTGTGTGTGTCTTCATATTGTGTACTTCTTTTTGTCTGTCTGTGTCCGTGTATTGTTACTGAGTGTGTACGTTTGTTTCTTTGTGTTGTGCTCACATCTATAATTTTGTGTGTTCGCCTCTTGTCAGTGTGTTTGTAACCCACATACTGTATATTTCATGTTGTGTATCTGTTTATCTTTTGAATGGAGATTTTCGAGTGTGTGCTTGTGTTTATACGCTGTATATATTGTGCGTCTACATTGTGTCTTTGTTGATTTTGTGTCTGTTTTTTCATCTCTATTGTCTGTTTGTCTTCATGCTCTCTTTGTGTCCATGTGTTTAGTTTTGTGTGTGTGTGTTGTGTTCTTTCCTCAGCTTCAATGTTCTTGTTCATGTGTGTCATTATTTATATGGTTGTATACTTTTATGTGTGTGTTTCTGGGT